AGCTGCATCCCTGCCTGATGCCTTCTGTTAAAAAGAATTTCCGAAATTGGAAGTATGGGGGGGCAGAGCAGAACGCTGCTGGAGCACAGTTTGTGAAGGGTTTAACTACATGGGTAAGCTAGCACCAGGGACCTTTTGGAACAAGAGCAAGTTAATTTTGATGAAGTTATTATGGTTCCCAAACTGAACCTTAAATTATGATATTTTGTTTTCATTAGGAGTATCTAAAAACAGCTTCCAAAAACTGCATTTCTGTTGTTTCTTCCCCAGACCTTAATTTCTGTGGCTGTTCAATCACAGACTTCCCAATGCGGCTCAATGAGAATTCTTTGCATGTCACATGCTCAGGGCAAGTGCAGTCTCTTGAGCTTAGATCTACTGAGCTAATCAAATGAGGAAGTAATAGGACAGCTTGTCTGACTCACAGCCAGGGGGTGTATCGGGGTTAATTTATAAAATTGTCAATTTCTATTGAAATTTGCACTTTTTGTAAAAGGAAAAAAGAAAACACTCTTCACAAATAAAGCACCTGAGCATGCTAAAGTGCTTTGTGTGTGGACTGCTCCTTTAAGATAATACAACATGAAACATTAAATTTCTTCTCATTGTTTTAAAAGTGTGCATTCATTACATTTGTCTCTAATTGAAATTATAAGACAGTGCTTATATGTACATACATAATTAAGCCATGAGCTCAAACTCCCACCATTCCTGGGAGGCAGAAATGACTATAGTACACTTCAATACAAAAAAAGTGTAATTGGTGTAGGACTCACCCAAGAGGTTTTGCCTTGACGTGGCACGTAAGTTTACAATGGAGTGGCCACTAGAGTGATACTACAAGACCTTCCAGTTATTTGGGATAGTGCGCACGTTGGTTCTTAAAGTGTTTAGATGTGGTAATAAAGATTGCTACAAAAGCCAACATGGCTGTGAATTTTCACTTACCCGATGAGCTGAGGGGTTGGTGATTCTTCATTACGTCCTTGTATAGATCCTTGTGTCCTTCTAAATACTCCCACTCCTCCATGGAGAGATGGACAGTGACATCCTCACACCTTATAGGAACCTGACACACACAATGATACAGTCACCATCCAGACACATCCCTTGGTTTTACTCTATAATGTTCCATTCCCAGCAGCCTCACCTCTCCAGTCAGCAGCCGGATGATCTGATTGGTCAGTTCCAGGATCATCTTCTCATTGTTCCTCTCATATATCAGTGAATGATGTGGGGGCAACGTGATGGGGCTTTGGATCTTGCTTGATCCATCTGACACATGGGGACTGCACTCACCAGGCTTCTTCACAACAATATAGTCCTGCACACAAACAAACAGTCACATTAAAAGAAGAATGCATCGGTTTATACATAAAGTCAAACCATATAGGACTTGACTGTCTAATTCTGTCTTCAAGCGCAAAAAATACAACAGAGAAAAGAGACACTAAAAACAATGTTGAACTTGATTATAGATTAACGCATATATATCTTGCGCATTTCCACAGAGATTACTTGCAATTTGTGTCATGGCACTGGGGGCAGTATAAGAAGAATAATATTCAAGAGAACAAATTAAAAAAAAAAAACCTATTGTCTCTTCTCCTCTCCTCACTCCTTCACATTACACAAAATACTCTGATGGAACAAGCTTAGTAGCATAATTAATACCAAGTCTACTTATCAATGTCTCAACCAGCAAATAGCATCATTTAGCTAATAATTCAGAAATAGATTTGCTTCTAAATGCTTTTATTTTTATTTTTTGTTGTGCATAAGGTAGCAAGCCTGAGATACCCCAATGGCAATCCTCAGGCATGGCATTATGCTTTACAGTTGAGGTTATAGATAGGGCATGCACAATTTTATAATATGATGATAAACAACAAGCTTAAAGGACCACTATAGTGCCAGGAAAACATACTCAGGTTCCCCCTCCCGCCCGGCTCTGGAAGGGGGGAAAGGGGTAAAAAAAAAAAAAAAAAATTACCTTTTTCCAGCGCTGGGCGGGGAGCTCTCCTCCTCCGATCCTCCTCTTCTCCTCCCAGTCAGTTGAATGTGCACGCGCGGCAAGAGCTGAGCGCGCATTCAGCCGGTCACATAGGAAAGCATTATCAATGCTTTCCTATGGACGCTTGCGTGCTTTCACTGTGAAAATCACAGTGAGAAGCACGCAAGCGCCTCTAGTGGCTGTCAATGAGACAGCCACTAGAGGATTAGGGGGAAGGCTTAACCCATTCATAAACATAGCAGTTTCTCTGAAACTGCTATGTTTATGAAAAAAATGGGTTAACCCTAGAAGGACCTGGCACCCAGACCACTTCATTAAGCTGAAGTGGTCTGGGTGCCTAGAGTGGTCCTTTAACTAAGGGTCTAAACCTGAGACTGACAGGTTATGTTAGGTAAAGTAAAATAACAAGCTGAACCCCCTTAAGGACACAACTTCACGCTGACAATAGATGTAGTTTATTCACAGAATTGATAGACAGCTCGAAGCAGAGTTCTGGGATGCCTAAGCCACATGGGCTGGGGGTGCAACTAGTTTCCTACAGAAAAATAACTCTGCATGTGCAGTGTTTAAAGCAAAAACAGACTCCCACCACTATAACCACTTCTAAAAGAAGTGATCATGATTGCTGGAGTAGCCCTTTAAAAAAAAAAAAAATATGCCACATGTTCAACACTGGGACTAACACTTATCAGTACCCATAATACCACTGTCTCATGTCTCAACTCCCTATTATTAGTTTTAGATTGCAAGCTCACGAGTTATCTTATTAAGCACTATAATGTCCCCAGAGTACTGTATTTGCTAGACTTTCCTTTTGTATAGGTACATGGTCATTATTTTTTTGTATTCAATCTATTGTACAGTGCTGTATAACATGTTGGCGCTATATAAATACCAAAAATAGTAATGATAACTGTCAATGATCAATTCTTCCTCCAAATGGCATGCTCATTCTCCTTCTGCACTCTCCCATGTCCATAGAAGATTCTCCTGGACATGATTTTTAAATCTTTGGCCAAGTTGTGATGGTGATTAGAGAGTGGCCAAGAACTGCAACAATTTATAAAAATAATCACTGCAGCTGTCCACCAGGAAACCAGCAAGCTTAGCTCACCAATGCTGCTGAAGCGCTTCCAAAGTGTCATCTTAAAGGGACACTGTACTCACTATAATCATGATGCCTGGAATCCAATGTAAAACCATTTTAGAGCAGTTTAACACTAAATAAGGGATCAAGGCCACCCACAGTCCGGCCTCTTCTGGAGGTGTGGCCAAGGCAGAGATTACACACTTCCTTGAAGTCATATCCTTCATACCGTTATTGTTCAGCACTAAAATAACTATTTAGAAGATAAGTGTGTGCGCTGGATTTTCATTTTTACTGTCCTTCATACCGTTAGTTGAAGCTCTGATAGGCTAAAAACAGACAGCTGACACTCTCAGCCAATCATAGCTGCCCATTGCTGCTCATGCTAGTACTTCCTCATTCGCCGAAGCAGCACAGAGGGGAAGGGCTGCTGGGGACTCTAATTTAGCATTGAAACATAAAAATATGAAAAACTGTTTAATGCTGAATGAAATTATGGAACTTGGGAACTCTGGACACTTTTAATGAAATGAAGCAGATACAGTGCCTACAGTGTCCCTTTAACTACTAGTAAGAGAGAGCAAAGAACACTCTTACATGTGCTCCTTGTTCCCCTGAAAGCCACTCTCCCTAACCCATTATAACGACCAAATACTTCACAACAGCCCTCTTCCAAAGAACCCTAAAACAATATAATTCAGGCAATCTCTTATCTGTAATAACGGTTGGCTAGAAGATGTACAAACATGGTGACATTCGTGATCTCTGAATGACAAAAAAAATAAAAAATAGTGAGGTCATCCTTATATTTCCAGAATCCCTCACCTCTCCAATCAGTAGGTAGATCATCTCCAGCGTGAGATCCAGTATCTTCTCAGTCTTCTGGGTCCCGACCTTGTTCATTTTCACAGTTCGTTAATTAATCTGATGTGAAGTGAATGTGTTTGATAGTCTACGGAACTAATCTATAAAACAGAATGAAAGACAAAAAAAATGTTTATAATTATATTAACCATGGGTCAGTTATTGGAAATAAGTCTGTTATTAAAGCATAGGAGGTGTACAGCTATGTCTCTTTTCCACCATTCATGCGGGAGTGAAGAAATCATCAATCATCGTGGGTAACATCCATCAGTCAAACTATTTAGAATTAAAAGCAAAGAACAAAACAAAAACAATGAGATCTCCCATTAGCATGTGTAGGGAAATGTCTATGCATTTACAATATAAAAATGTATGTCTTATAATAAAATCTATACCATGTCTGGAGTACTGCCGGACTATACATACATTGTAGATTCTGTTTATTGGTGGTTTTATTTTTACTGGATACATTTTAACTATTTTGTACCTTTGTTAGGAAGTGACCTGGCTTTAAACTGGATTATTTTTTGGGGAATTTGTATTGCGCCAATTCTACAGAGCTTTACAATATTATTAAGAGGACTTTAAGAACAATGAGACAAAGTATCACACATTTTGACAGAAACAAGAGGTTGGTGACAGCCACTGGAGGCAGACTTGGAGCTACAATGTTAACACTGAAGTTCTCTGGAACTGCTATGTTTTACATTGTAGCACTAAGTGCAAAAGGCTCACTGCACCCAAGCAACTTCAGTTAGCTGAAGTGGTCTGGGTGCCTTCACTGTCCCTTTAATTCCTATCTGGCTCTATATTTCCTCAGGATATTTTCAACACTTGAATGCCAGGGGGTTGCTGACCTAGCCACCTCTAGAGTATATTAACTTGTCTAAACAGATTTTATGACAATATAAAGAGTTGTGAAGCTAGTTACAAAGACTGGCCAATGGGAAGGGGGAGGATCTATTTATACCAGTTTCAGAGTTCTATTTCCTGTCCTTTCTGCTGCGAGGGGAGGAGCTAACCCATGAGTAAATGCTGCCATTACGGTAAGTATGAAATAATTTTCCAGAATTTGCAGATATCCCCAATTGTGACATTGGTGGCTGTAAGGAGGGGCAGGAAAAGGGGAGTTCTACTTATCTGACCCTGTCCCTCGTGGGTGTGGCCATCTACCTCCGTAAGGCCCTCTTCAGCTCCTGAAACATATACAAGAGTACAGCAGAGAGGTCTATTGAGGATCATGAGGGATCCTTCATAGACAGAGCCAAATCCATGCAGACGTCACTGCTGACAGCTGAGGGAATTGACACACCTCTAGCTCCGCCCAGTGTCTAGAAGTGTCAGGCGTAATAAATATACAGGGACAAATGAGTCCCTAATCTGTTTTAGTATATCTCTTAACAAGGTTGGAATTTCAGTGAAATTCAAACAGTCAAAATGAACATTCCATAAAGATCTCTATGAAATACTTTCGTGGAGGGTCATTTTCATTAACGGCTCACACCTATATAATCCAGATCTCGACATTTCCTGGTGTCTGAGTGTTTGTCTGCCTTTTCATCCCGCAACAGGCAGCCAAGGGATAATGAAAGGCTCTGCTCCCGTGTGCGTCCTGTTGTGATACCAGGAGCCAAATGTCACGCTGGTCCCGGCATTGCTAAACAGTGTGAGAAGGAACAGAATAAGAAGATCACAGGAAGTTGACAGCTGCTCCACTGGACGCCATGGAATAAAACCATTTCCCAACTATATAATCTGTATATAATAACAGGGGGAATAAAACCAGCTCCCACCTATATAATCTGTATATAATAACAGGGGGGAATAAAACCAGCTCCCACCTATATAATCTGTATATAATAACAGGGGGAATAAAACCAGCTCCCACCTATATAATCTGTATATAATAACAGGGGAATAAAACCAGCTCCCACCTATATAATCTGTATATAATAACAGGAGGAATAAAACCAGCTCCCACCTATATAATAACAGGGGGAATAAAACCATCTCCCACCTATATAATCTGTATATAATAACAGGGGGAATAAAACCAGCTCCCACCTATATAATCTGTATATAATAACAGAGGGAATAAAACCAGCTCCCAACTATATAATCTGTATATAATAACAGGGGAATAAAACCAGCTCCCACCTATATAATCTGTATATAATAACAGGGGGAATAAAACCAGCATGGGGAATAAAACCAGCTCCCACCTATATAATCTGTATATAATAACAGGGGAATAAAACCAGCTCCCACCTATATAATCTGTATATAATAACAGGGGGAATAAAACCAGCTCCCACCTATATAATCTGTATATAATAACAGGAGGAATAAAACCAGCTCCCTCCTATATAATCTGTATATAATAACAGGAGGAATAAAACCAGCTCCCTCCTATATAATCTGTATATAATAACAGGGGAATAAAACCAGCTCCCACCTATATAATAAAACTAGCTCCCACCTATATAATCTGTATATAAAAACAGGAGGAATAAAACCAGCTCCCACCTATATAATCTGTATATAATAACAGGGGGAATAAAACCAGCTCCCACCTATATAATCTGTATATAAAAACAGGAGGAATAAAACCAGCTTCCACCTATATAATCTGTATATAATAACAGGAGGAATAAAACCAGCTCCCACCTATATAATCTGTATATAATAACAGGGGGAATAAAACCATCTCCCACCTATATAATCTGCATATAATAACAGGGGGAATAAAACCAGCTCCCACCTATATAATCTGTATATAATAACAGGGGAATAAAACCATCTCCCACCTATATAATCTGTATATAAAAACAGGAGGAATAAAACCAGCTCCCACCTATATAATCTGTATATAATAACAGGGGGAATAAAACCATCTCCCATCTATATAATCACATGGGGAATAAAACCAGCTCCCACCTATATAATCTGTAAATAATAACAGGGGAATAAAACCATCTCCCACCTATATAATCTGTATATAATAACAGGGGGAATAAAACCAGCTCCCACCTATATAATCTGTATATAATAGGAGGAATAAAACCAGCTCCCTCCTATATAATCTGTATATAATAACAGGGGGAATAAAACCAGCTCCCACCTATATAATCTGTATATAATAACAGGAGGAATAAAACCAGCTCCCACCTATATAATCTGTATATAATAACAGGGGAATAAAACCAGCTCCCACCTATATAATCTGTATATAATAACAGGAAGAATAAAACCAGCTCCCACCTATATAATCTGTATATAATAACAGGGGGAATAAAACCAGCTCCCTCCTATATAATCTGTATATAATAACAGGGGAATAAAACCAGCTCCCACCTATATAATCTGTATATAATAACAGGAAGAATAAAACCAGCTCCCACCTATATAATCTGTATATAATAACAGGAGGAATAAAACCAGCTCCCTCCTATATAATCTGTATATAATAACAGGGGAATAAAACCAGCTCCCACCTATATATAACCCTTAGGAGGAATAAAACCAGCTCCCTCTATATAATAACAGGGGGTAATAAAACCAGCTCCCACCTATATAATCTGTATATAATAACAGGGGGAATAAAACCAGCTCCCACCTAAATAATCTGTATATAATAACAGGGAAATAAAACCAGCTCCCACCTATATAAACTGTATATAATAACAGGGGGAATAAAACCAGCTCCCACCTATATAATCTGTATATAATAACAGGGGAATAAAACCAGCTCCCACCTATATAATCTGCATATAGTAACAGGAGGACTAAAACCAGCTCCCACCTATATAATCTGTATATAATAACAGGGGGAATAAAACCATCTCCCACCTATATAATCTGTATATAATAACAGGGGGAATAAAACCAGCTCCCACCTATATAATCTGTATATAATAACAGGGGAATAAAACCAGCTCCCACCTATATAATCTGTATATAATAACAGGAGGAATAAAACCAGCCAACCAGCTCCCACCTATATAATCTGTATATAATAACAGGAGGAATAAAACCAGCTCCCACCTATATAATCTGTATATAATAACAGGAGGAATAAAACCAGCTCCCACCTATATAATCTGTATATAATAACAGGAGAATAAAACCAGCTCTCACCTATATAATCTGTATATAATAACAGGGGGAATAAAACCATCTCCCACCTATATAATATGTATATAATAACAGGGGGAATAAAACCAGCTCCCACCTATATAATCTGTATATAATAACAGGAGGAATAAAACCAGCTCCCACCTATATAATCTGTATATAATAACAGGAGGAATAAAACCAGCTCCCACCTATATAATCTGTATATAATAACAGGGGGAATAAAACCAGCTCCCACCTATATAATCTGTATATAATAACAGGAGGAATAAAACCAGCTCCCACCTATATAATCTGTATATAATAACAGGAGGAATAAAACCATCTCCCACCTATATAATCTGTATATAATAACAGGAGGAATAAAACCATCTCCCACCTATATAATCTGTATATAATAACAGGAGGAATAAAACCAGCTCCCACCTATATAATCTGTATATAATAACAGGGGGAATAAAACCAGCTCCCACCTATATAATCTGTATATAATAACATGGGGAATAAAACCAGCTCCCACCTATATAATCTGTATATAATAACAGGGGGAATAAAACTAGCTCCCACCTATATAATCTGTATATAATAACAGGAGGAATAAAACCAGCTCCCACCTATATAATCTGTATATAAAAACAGGAGGAATAAAACCAGCTTCCACCTATATAATCTGTATATAATAACAGGGGGAATAAAACCATCTCCCACCTATATAATCTGCATATAATAACAGGGGGAATAAAACCAGCTCCCACCTATATAATCTGTATATAATAACAGGAGGAATAAAACCAGCTCCCACCTATATAATCTGTATATAATAACAGGAGGAATAAAACCATCTCCCACCTATATAATCTGTATATAATAACAGGAGGAATAAAACCATCTCCCACCTATATAATCTGTATATAATAACAGGAGGAATAAAACCAGCTCCCACCTATATAATCTGTATATAATAACAGGAGGAATAAAACCAGCTCCCTCCTATATAATCTGTATATAATAACAGGGGGAATAAAACCAGCTCCCACCTATATAATCTGTATATAATAACAGGAGGAATAAAACCATCTCCCACCTATATAATCTGTATATAATAACAGGGGGAATAAAACCATCTCCCACCTATATAATGACTCTCCTTATACTTATAATAACAGGAGGAATAAAACCAGCTCCCACCTATATAATCTGTATATAATAACAGGGGGAATAAAACCAGCTCCCACCTATATAATCTGTATATAATAACAGGGGAATAAAACCATCTCCCACCTATATAATATGTATATAATAACAGGAGGAATAAAACCAGCTCCCACCTATATAATCTGTATATAATAACAGGGGGAATAAAACCAGCTCCCACCTATATAATCTGTATATAATAACAGGAGGAATAAAACCAGCTCCCACCTATATAATCTGTATATAATAGGGGGAATAAAACCAGCTCCCACCTATATAATCTGTATATAATAACAGGGGGAATAAAACCAGCTCCCACCTATATAATCTGTATATAATAACAGGGGGTAATAAAACCAGCTCCCACCTATATAATCTGTATATAATAACAGGGGTAATAAAACCAGCTCCCACCTATATAATCTGTATATAATAACAGGGAAATAAAACCAGCTCCCACCTATATAAACTGTATATAATAACAGGGGGAATAAAACCAGCTCCCACCTATATAATCTGTATATAATAACAGGGAAATAAAACCAGCTCCCACCTATATAATCTGTATATAATAACAGGGGGAATAAAACCAGCTCCCACCTATATAATCTGTATATAATAACAGGGGGTAATAAAACCAGCTCCCACCTATATAATCTGTATATAATAACAGGGGGAATAAAACCAGCTCCCACCTAAATAATCTGTATATAATAACAGGGAAATAAAACCAGCTCCCACCTATATAAACTGTATATAATAACAGGGGGAATAAAACCAGCTCCCACCTATATAATCTGTATATAATAACAGGGAAATAAAACCAGCTCCCTCCTATATAATCTGTATATAATAACAGGGAAATAAAACCAGCTCCCACCTATATAATCTGTATATAATAACAGGGGGAATAAAACCAGCTCCCACCTATATAATCTGTATATAATAACAGGGGGTAATAAAACCAGCTCCCACCTATATAATCTGTATATAATAACAGGGGGAATAAAACCAGCTCCCACCTAAATAATCTGTATATAATAACAGGGAAATAAAACCAGCTCCCACCTATATAAACTGTATATAATAACAGGGGGAATAAAACCAGCTCCCACCTATAATCTGTATATAATAACAGGGAATAAAACCAGCTCCCACCTATATAATCTGTATATAATAACAGGAGGAATAAAACCAGCTCCCACCTATATAATCTGTATATAATAACAGGGGGAATAAAACCAGCTCCCACCTATATAATCTGTATATAATAATAGGAGGAATAAAACCAGCTCCCACCTATATAATCTGTATATAATAACAGGGAATAAAACCAACTCCCCTCTATGGTAACAATAAGCCAGCCCTTCCTCTCAATGGTAACTAGACAAAGCTCTGTCCTCTCTATGGTAACTATAAGCTAGCCCTTCCTATCTATGGTAACTAGACAAAGCGCTGTCCTCTCTATGGTAACAATAAGCCAGCCCTTCCTCTCAATGGTAACTAGACAAAGTTCTGTCCTCTCTATGGTAACTAGCCAAAGCTCTGTCCTCTCTATGGTAGTTAGAAGCCAGCCCTTCCTATCTATGGTAACTAGACAAAGCTCTGTCCTCTCTATGGTAACTATAAACCAGCCCTTCCTCTCAATGGTAACTAGACAAAGCTCTGTCCTCTCTATGGTAACAATAAACTAGCCCTTCCTCTCAATGGTAACTAGACAAAGCTCTGTCCTCTCTATGGTA